AAAATCGCTCTGATCCCAAACTTTTGACCGGTAGTGTATATATTTTTTTGTAAGAATTTACAATAAAGGTTGCAAATTTTTAAATAATTTTTTTAATTTCTAAACATTTTTATGTTTTATTTGATTTTATTTTTGTTACAATTGACAATTTTTAAAGTTTGTAATTTAAAATGTAACGGTTTTAAACACATTTTAATGTTTTTACGCAATTTTTGTTTTGTTTTATGTTTTTTTTTTTAAAGCAGCAATTTACAACTTCTTGTGTTTTTAAACATTTTTAACAGTTCTGTTGTCCTTTTTTAAACTTTTTTTACTTTAATGTTGTTTTTTGGTAACAATTTACAATAAAGCTGCACAGTTTTAAACATTTTTATGTTAAAAAAAATATGTTTTTAATAACAATGTACAATAAGCTTGCACATTTTTTTAATTTTTTGTGTTTCATGGTTTTTTTTTTTTTTGTTACAATTTACAACAAGTTTGTAAATTTTTTCACATTTATTTACTTTTTTCTGGTAACATTTTTAAAAACATTTTTTATATTTTTGTGTTATATTTTATGTAACAATTTAGAATAGTTGCACATTTTTGAACATATCTTCATGGTTTACAATTTACGATTAGTTTGCAAATTTGTAAACATTAATTTTTTTAACATTTTGAAATAAGGTTGCACATTTTTATGTTTTTCTTTTTTTACATTACAGCTCAGTAGAGCTTATAAAGGCTTTTGGGTTGTTAATGCACAATGCTTGCATGAATCAACATCACAATGTTAGGTTTAAAATTAATATGCATGCATAAAAGAAAGTGTGTTTAGATCCTCTAAGAGTAACTACCCATTTTCTTTCATAAATCTGCTACAAAGCATCAATGCATAAACTTTAATATATGCACAAATCTTAACCAAGTGTATCTAAAAAAAAGAGCCTGGAAATATTCTCTATCATCCCAGTTCAGCTCACATCTCTCCATTAAAATAATTCCTCCACATGATCAGAATGAGATACGTGCATCTCATGTTTACCATTTGCATTGCAGTTATAAAATATTATACAAAATATAGGCAGATTTTAAATAAATATATAAATAAAATCGTGTGTTTTGCTGAATTACCTCATGCTCTGAGTTCTCCTGCCCTCCTGTTTTACCCACTTTTGCAGATTTTGGTGAATCCTATAAAGAAAACACACAGTGACCTTACATTTTTCCAGCTAAAAACATGAAATGCATGATTTTTGACTAATAAAAACACACCATCTCACTGAGTGACAGCTAACATTAGCAATCCGGCGCAAGTATTTCACGTGCAAACCTGGACTCCAACTGCAAATATATTAAAATGCATGCTATTTATTTTCATTGAAAAGCATTTTGGACATTTCTAAATAAACTAAATAAACTGAACACAAATACAGATGTGAAGTCACCTAAAGTGCTCTGCTGTAAATCGTTTAAAGTTTATGAGCCAGTGAGTAATTCACTGCGATGAGCAAAGCTGGAGTTAGCATACATGCTAATGTCTCGAGCTGAACTAATCTGACACTTTGACTGAAGGATCAATCCGTATTTTCCGCACTTTTACGGGTTTTTCTCCACATTCACACACGAGAGGCTCTGTCTCACCTTCTCTTTCTTGGGTTTATTCGGTATGGCACTCAAACGCGTGTGTTTCCAGCCTGCAGACAGTCAATGAGAGCCGCTGTCAGTCAGAGTGTGTGTGTGTGTGTGAGAGAG